TACTTTAAAACAAGTTTGTTATTGAAGTTTTTATGAATCGAATAATATAAAAAATATAATAAAAAAACTTTTCTATAGAGAATACGGTATTTTTGAAGACAGGCAATTATTTTACATACTTTTAGAAGATTCTTCTCAAGCTTACAACTATATAACATCAAAAATGATTCATTAGATGCACCAGCATGTGAGCTTTTGACAAAATGCATATGCAAAAGATCAGTACATTATAAATATTTTGATAAAAATCAAGAAAAACAGTTTTACAATAAGTAGATTGCTAGTTAATTCAATGCTACTTACACTAATTTTTTTTTAAAGCAGTTTCATATTTAGAATTATATTCACGACAATTAAATTAAAGATAAGTATATTAAAAAAAGGCTATTATATAATTATTTATTGCTATTATATATAAATTTAAAAACTATACTAATGTTATATATTCGATATATGAATTTTTAGATATTTTTTACCATAGTTACTGCATTCAGTATCCCAAGATTAAGACCCGGGCTATATTTCAATACCATATGTAACAACCCTGACTTATACTTGGATAGAATTAGAATTGCAAGATTAACAATATGAATTTCTGCCTGAAAATCGGTTTACACAATATATTGGGTACAAATTATTAAGTGCTATAGTTTTGATTTATATCTCTAGTACTGAATGCAGTGCTCTACTATTCGTTTATAATTATATATTAATCTATTTAAACAATGTAAAACATAATTATTTAATAAAAACTGAGGCCAGGCCTCATTTAAAAAAAAAAAAAGAAAGTATAATTATATGTTATTAGTTACACTATTTGCTCATTTTCACTTTGAGTATCATCTTCATTTTGAATATTTCTTTGTTTTTTTTTTGTTGGTTTAAGGCCACTATGGTATCTTTTTCTAAGTTTCTAACTCCTTTTTCTTTTGATTTTTTTTGTTTAGTTAAGTAAACCTCTTCTGCAAAAAGGTTTTGCATATGTTGAATTCTATGTTGATAACAAGTTTCCATATTAAAGTATCCTTTTGTAGTGTTTTGAGTTGTGTATTCAAAAAGAGAATGGTTATTAGAGTCTGGATCTTGAAATGTATTATATATTTGTTCACTTAAAGTCTATAGCTATTCATATTGATCTGGTATATTACAGTCATCAATATCTATTACTTGGTCAACAAATTCATCAAGAACTGATAGTCGTTCAATTTCATCTTGACTTCCTTGTATTTTCTAGTGTAAGTTTTTTCATCACCAGATTTTAT